TCAGTATGAATTTTTGGCTGCTTGAAATTTAGAGAGAGTAAAGTTTCATGTCGTTAGGTTAAAAAATACATTTTAGAACTATGAATATTTTGTAAACTTTTTACATTTTTAAGTTAAAGATTAGTGCTTTTGGTATGCTCTATGAGTTTGACAATATCTTGGAGTTAAAAAAAAGTTCTTCATATTTTATAAATATGAACTTCATTGTCAACTGACTTGCACTGCTCCAAGTATTGAAAAGATCAGAAATAAATGGGTAGATATTATAGTTACTATAGATTCAAATCAAATGCAATTCAATTTTGATACCTAGATAGCATTATTTTGTGAATATCTTTAAACATATGATTGTTTTTATGTAAATCTATTTTGGGAGTCTTAAAACATTAATGCATGAAAGAAACAGTACAAAAACCGCTAACTATGTGATGGGGACACACCATTGATTGAACAGTAGTCTGAGTTTGGTGGAGTAGCTGGTGGTATCCTGTATTTAGCAACAGGGTATCATCTCTCTAGAAGGTCAAATTCAATAAATGTTCTGTAAATGTTTCAGTTTTAAAAATATCACTCAACTCATAAAGTATTACTACTTCATAAACATTCATAATTGTGATGAAACTTTTGTCTGAAACTATAACAAATGCATTCAGAGATTTACTTAAATGGGAGATGAGTCATTTTGTAACTAGAATGACTCATCTCGCATTGGTCCCTTGATTCTATGGCTGCCTTAAAGGAACATTTTACATGATTTTAACATCTCAAATGACTCTGGCTTTTGAACTGTCTACATAGTTTCTTCTAAAATAAGAATGTGAGGCATCTCAATATGTCCAGACAAATTTTTGTATCTATCTCTTTGTGTATATGCACACATCTTGATATAAATTTTAGTGTTTTATGTGAGTTCTTTCTGCATTGTTATAATTTTATTTTCTTTGTGTGTGTGTGTGTGGTTAATACAGGCAAATTTTGTATGTATCTATTTGTGTACATGCACACATCTTGAAATCCATTTCAGTGTTCAATCTGAGTTCTTTCTGCATTATTATCATTTTATTTCATTTTTTGTGTGGTTATTATGGAGCAAAGTGAACTCTGGAAATGCATGCCAGATAGGCTACAAAAAAACACAAGAGCATATGGTGCTTCAAGTGCATGAAGGTTTGGTCTGTTTTACTTTATTGTGTTTTCCTGAGTGTAAAGAAAGCATAAGTCATAAATCTTCAAACCCATTTTGATAAAGTGAAAAAAACTGAGCTGGTTTTTGTCTTTATATTTTTTTTTGCTATTAGCAATGATGTTTAAAAATTAAATGAAAGGTTGCAGCAAAAATTTGTTAATTTGCTGACATTCTATAGATATAACTCAAGTTTAATACATTTTCCAATCCCTGTCTTAAATTATGGGGCATTTACAAAATGTACATATATACAATGCAATACAAAAGGAAATGCATACTTTCATTTGAGTTTAATTAAGCAGACATTTATTGAATTCCCAACATATTTCACACACAGCACTGAAGATACAGAGGTGAATAAGACATGGCTTCTGTCCTTAAGGCACAGTCTATAAGGGAGTGTTAAATATATATGGCATATTAAGTACAGAGATGAAAGAAAGAAAGAAAGAAAGAAAGAAAGAAAGAAAGAAAGAAAGAAAGAAAGAAAGAAAGAAAGAAAGAAAGAAAGAAAGAAGGAAGGAAGGAAGGAAGGAAGGAAGGAAGGAAGGAAGGAAGGAAGGAAGGAAGGAAGGAAGGAAGGAAGGAAGGAAGAAAAAAACAAGAAAGCAAGAGACAGAAGGATGGAGGGTGGAAGGGAGATAGAGATAGAGATAGAGATAGAGATAGAGATAGAGATGAGAGAGAGAGAGAGAGAGAGAGAGAGAGAGAGAGAGAGAGAGAGAGAGAACAGTAGTAGTATAGAGAGGGGAAATTATTAACATTATTCAAAAGAATCAGGAAAGGCTTTCTAGAACTGCCAACACTAAAGCTGAGTTGAAGCATGAATATGAACTTGCCACAAAGAAAACTTAATAAGGACATTGCAGTCTGAGGTATGAAGAAGGTATGAAGGTATATACCTGATAATTTTAACTTATTCGGTATTACTTGAATATAACATTGGCAGGGGGTGATGGTACTAGAGTTTTAGGAAGAGAAAGCTAAAAGTTTAAACAGGAGCTGTACATGAGCTACAATTAATTTGTTATGGTCAAAGCATAAGGTTCTGGTGGGAAGGTCAGATAAGATGGAGAATGAAGCAAGATCTAGATAATAAAAAAATGTACGTTTCATACCAAGGAGTTTGAGCTCTACCCTGTAGTTGTTGGGGAAGTATCAAGGACTCTTCAACCATGTAATCATATGATCAGCTTTGTACTATGATGATCCTGACAGAGGTATGACACCTAGACTGAAGTGGAAAGAGACTGGAAATAAGAAGTCCAGTTAGGAGGCATTTGAAATAGGCCACACAAAAATAATACAGGCCCAAGACTCAGTGGACAACGGCATGTGGGGAGTGAAGGTAATGGATGAGTCAAAAAAGACTTCCAGGTTTCTGATTCAGGCTACTAAGTAGATAGATGGTAGTACTGTTGACTGAGATTGAAAATACAAGAGAAAAGAAATTATAATACAACTCACATATTATGAAAGTCTTACTTTAACCTAATTGAAACATGGACTCCTATTTAAAAAAAAAAAGCAACAACAAAGCTGATGAGCAATCTATGAGTGAAATTTTTATTATTTTTTAAGATATACTGTTTACTGGTAGCTCTAAAGTAAATTGTTCACTAACCCAAAAGATGGATCATTGTCTAAACTGAGCATAAGGCATTGTCTGTAGCATACAGCTTAGTACTTGAATACATATTTTTGTTCTTATTCATTTAGTCAACAAATATTTATTCAGTAGCAGCGATTATTTTAAGTACTGAAATTGCAGGAATGAAAAGACAAGGTTCTTGCCCTCACATTAGTCTTATTAGAAGGATCTGAAAAAAAATTCATAAAGGATAATGAGTTGAGATTATATTTAAGTGATAAATAAAAATGCATGTGTTAAATAGGAAAGGGAAAGCCTTGGACAATGATAGTATTATTAGGATATAAAATTGGAAGGATTGAGAAGAAAAGAATATGAATTTAGACTGGTCAAGTATGAGCTAGATGGTGCTTGATGGTAGAGCTTTCTATGCCAGACTAAGAAATTTGAATTTGATCCCGTAGAGAGGAGAAACTTTTAAGGAATTAAGAACAATGGTTCAGCCGAAGCTGGTTTGGCTCAGTGGTAAAGCTGAAAGGTCCCAGGTTCGATTCCGGTCAAGGGCATGTACCTGAGTTGCGGGCACATTCCCAGTAGGGGGTGCACAAGAGGCGGCTGGTCGATGTTTCTCTCTCATCGATGTTTCTAACTCTCTTTACCTTTCTCTTCCTCTCTGTAAAAAATCAATAAAATATATTTTTTTTTAAAAAAGGACAGTGGTTCAAATGCATGGTACGTTGACCACACATTTCAGGTTTTACAGGACAGTCTCATATTATAAATTATATAGTTATCATATGTCAAAGGCATTGTGGAAGAGGAATTAAGGAAGGCAGAGTTTAGAGGTATGTAACAAATAACCGGGTTTGTTTTTTTTTTTTAGAAAAGAGATGTTGAGGACCTGAACAATTATAGTGGCCCTGGGTATGAAGAGTATCTGGTGAATAAGAGTAACAATGTGAATGCAGAATCTATAGAACGCCTGATTGGTTCATGTGTGTAAATCTTGTTTTACTAACTGACTCTACTGTTCTTTGAGACAGCAGTCATATTAGTAAAATATAACTCAAAGGTAATGATACTGATATGTTTGCTTCCAAAAAGAAAAGAGGGAGGGTAAGAGACATCCAAATAAATTACTCCTTTCAAAGTAATCCCCTTGAGAAGCTGTATCCTTATTCCCATAATGATATGGCCCAGAATTTTTCTGCATCTATTTGAGCAGTGCATTGAAGAGTCAACTGTCACTTCCTCTGGATTTATTCTGAATGGTGGAAAGTAGTCATCATCTAAGTAGTATATTGGATATTTTGAGATAATAAAAGTAATATTTTTTCCAAATTCAAACATGATAAATTAATAGTTTTCTTCTTTGACTTATGAACTTACTCCACAAAGTTGGGAGCAATCTATAGAAATAGAAAATACAATAATGATTGCCTAGGAATCAGTTGTAAAGCTGAGAGGGATGAAATTGATTGATAACAGGTACAAGGTTTCTTTCTTTGTATGATGAAAATATTCTAATATTAGATCACTATAACATTTAGTAAACTTGAAGAACTCTAAAAATTTACTAAAAGTTGTTGAATTATACACTTTAAATGGATGAAGTTTATGCTATGGAAATCATACTTTAGTAAATATTTTAAAGATGTTTGGAGTGCTAGAAGGGCCCTAGGTTCAGGGGTGTATATTTTTTAAAGCATAAGTCTCATCACTTTATGATTAAACTTTATTTCCATCTCCATCTGAATCTTTCCTAAAATAGTATTGAGTTCATAGTAATTGCTTAATAGTTATTTGTCCAGCATAATTGAATGTAGTATGGGTGTTCAATTTTATTTCATTTTAGAGAATATGGTGATTTTATTAAATAGTGTGTATAAAAGTTCTTAAATGTTTTTATCTATCTCCTAAATGTACAATATAATTTGTGGGTACTTTCAATAAATGTTGAGTTATGACCAGTCCTTTCTTTATGTTTCACAAACATCAACAATTTTTTATTACAAACAGTATAGATTGTTATTAATACTTAAATTAATAGATTACTATTTATTTAAGAAAATGTATCATTATCCATATAAATTATAGAAATCACACAGAAATGTTGTTCTAACGTTTTGTCATTAACTCTGGCATATTAATTTTTAGTATTACATAAAATAAACCAATCAGTTTCAACCTCACTTTCTCTCTCTCCTCCCCTCCCCTACTCAGGAAGCATTGTGAGTGTTGGTGATCCAAAGAAAAAATACACAAGATTTGAAAAAATTGGTCAAGGGTAAGTGATGGTTAATTAAAATACAAAAATATGTATCAAAGATATACATTAAAATTCAATAATAGCTTGGATTTCTGATAATTTATGCTCCTCACTTTCTGAGTTACATTAATGTTTTCATCCTCAGTGTTGGCCTTTCTGATTGGCCAACCAAAACATATCCTGCTAGAATCTTCTCTATTGTTGGGCTGACAAAGAAATTATTAGGGACATTTTGATCCCATTTGGTTAGAAGATTCAAACTGATTTCTCTAGAAAAGTAGTACATTTTCACCTATTATACTCAATAATAATAAGATTCCAGGATAACCAAGATGGTGGCACAGGTAAATGCCAGTACTTAATGCCTCCCACAATCACATCAAAATTACCACTAAAGTACAGAGCAACCATCATTCAGAACCACCTGAAATCTGGGTGAATGGCAGTCCAATAATTAGAGAAGTAAAGAAGAAAGCACATTCAGACTGGTAGGCAGGGTGGAGGTGCAGAATGAGATGGCCCGGTACCCATGCACAGCATTTTTTTTTTAATTGGGAGGGATAGCTCAGCTGTAGAGACCTACCCTGAGGAGCAAGATGTCCCAGCCACACACCAGATGCCCAGCCCAGGGTTCCAGAGACTAGAAGAGGAGTCCACATAACTTTAGGCTATATAATTGGGGATTGTGGCTGAGTGACACAAAGACTGATTGAGTCCCATACAGTTCCTTTAAAAGGGCCAGTTTCTTTTAAACTTACACAGTTATGATCCCTCCGGTCTCTAATGCTATTTGGTAGCATTGAAGGATCCAGGGACATACTAGGAGGAACTGCATTTTCTGGCATCAGAGCAGGAACTCAGTAGTGGCTTTCTCTCAGAGTGGGGTGCTTGTAAGTTGCGTTGTTCCTGAGATGGGATCTCCCCATTGCAAGGCTGACCGACAGCCATATCTGAGTTTCCATCAGCTTGGCTCACACAATTTGTTCTACCTTGTTGATTCCCTAAGACCCCGACCCATCCAATTTGCAGCCCCACCCAAGGTTTTGGCAGCAGCTTTTCCATATGACTGGCATGTCATGGATCAGGCTTCAGATTTAAAATCTCTCAAACAAGCAGCAGCCGGCATCAGCGTACCACATACCTGTCAATAAGAAGCCCAAGACACAACACTAGCAAAGCCTGCCTTGCTTTACAGCTTGGTTTTGCTTTGGCACTTCCAATCCCAATACAAATGGCAGCCACCTGCAGATCCATATGTAGTTCCTGCTGGGTGGCCTCAGGCAGTGGCTAACTGCACTTCCCTCAGAGCCAGTACACCCAGTGGATAGCTTCAGACCATATCAGATTATAACTCAACACTTCTACAAGCAACACACTCAATGGCAGACTTAGTGAGCACCAAAGCTCCACTGAAGCAAGTCCTGTTCCATAGGGGAATCTCCTGCACAGCATCTGTTCCACTATAGCTGCAGCTGGCCCTCACAGCCAATTGGCCTGGAGGTCAATTCCTCCCACTGATGCCAACAGCAATCAAGAGTATACACACAGCACTCATACCTAGAGTGCACAGCTCAGGTGACTGGGGAGGCTGAGCCACTGGGCCCTACACATCACTTATTACACAAAACCACTCTACCAATTTCAGGAGAAATAAAAACTCTACCTAATACATAGAAACAAACACAGGGAAACAGCCAAAATGTGGAGACAAAGAAGCATGTCACAAATGAAAGAACAGAATAAATCTCCAGAAAAAGAACTAAATGAAATGGAAGCAAGCCAACTACTGGAAACAGAGTTCAAAACAACTGGTCTAAGGTTACTCAAGAATCTTAATGAGAACTTTAAGGGACTTAATTAGAATTTCAAGGGACATATAGAGACTTTCAAGGATCTTAGTGAGAATTTCAAAGACATGAAAAAGAACCAGTAAAAAATTAAGCATACACTAACCTAAATAAAGAATAATTTATAGGGATTCAATAGTAGAGTAGAAGATTCCAATAATCAAATCAATTATTTGGAATATAGGGAAGCAAAAAACACCCAATAAAAGAGTAACTAGAAGAAAGTATTCTCTGGGACAATTGCAAGCGTACAAACATTCACATTATGAGGGTTCTAGAAGCAGAAGAGAAAAAGCAAGATATTGAAAAATCTGAAGAAATAATAACAGAAAATGCCCCTTACCTGATGGAAGAAATAGACATACAAGTCTAGGAAGCACAGAGAGTCCCAAACAAAAGGAACCCAAACAGGCCCACACCAAGACACATCCTAATTAAAATGACAAGGGTTAAAGACAAAGAGAGAATCTTAAAAGCACCAAGGGCCTGCCAGACATGGCTTCATGGCTTAGTGGTTGAGTGTTGGGGTACATACCTGGATTGTAGGCTCAATCTTCACTGTGGAGTGTGCAGGAGGCTGCTGATCAATGATTCTTCCTCATAATTGTTGATTTTATCTATGTCTCCCTCTCTCTTCCTCTCTGAAATCAATATATATATATATATATATATATATATATATATATATATATGTGTGTGTGTGTGTGTGTGTGTGTGTGTGTGTGTGTGTGTGTGTGTATGTGTGTTTGGTTATCTATATGGGAGATCCCATAATACTATCAGCTGATTTCTCAACAGAAACTTTGAAGAATAGAAGAGAATGGTAAGAAATATTCAAAATGATGAATAACAAGGACCTATACCCTATGTTTGTTTCTACCCAGCAAAGCTATCATTTATAATTGAAGGTCAGATAAAAATATTCAGAGACAAGAAAAAGCTAAAGAAATTCATCACCTCCAAACTAGTATTACATGAAATATTGAAGTGTATTCTTTAAGAAGAAGAAGGAGGAGGAGGAGGAGGAGGAGACGGAGAGGGAGAGGGAGAGGGAGAGGGAGAGGGAGAGGGAGAGGGAGAGGGAGAGGGAAAAGGAAAGGGAGAGGGAGGGGGAAGAATAAAAAATATGAACAATAAAATGGCAATTAGTACATACCTATCAACAATTGAATCTGAAAACAAAAAAAGGAATATAATTAACAAAATAAACTGATGAATAAAATTGAACCAGAGGCATGGAAACATGGAACAGATTAAGGACTGATGAATCTTAGAGGGAAGCGGGGATAAGGGATGGGAAGAGATTAACCAATGGTCTTATGTGCTATATACATTTCCTATGGATACAGACAATAGGATGGTGACTGGAACTGACTGGAATGGGTCAATGGGGGGACAAAGGGGGATATCTGTGTTCTCTCAAAAATAAAGATTAAAAAAAAAAAAGATTCCAAGGCCCGACTGCCAGAGACTTGATTCAAAAGTATGGAGTGGGGACAAGGAAACTAAACTTTGGAAAAGTTCTTTAATTAATCCTGACCATTAATTAGACATGTGAACCAATGGGGCTAAGGTAGGTGTTACCAGTTTTAGAAATCAGCTGTAATTAGGTATGCCTCTTAGGCCTCAATGTGAAACTAAGTGGAAGGGCTTCAGTTGTCAACTATTTTAAATAGGGAAAGTTTTCTTTAAAGAAATGAAGTGATCTTCATAGCTGCCCTTAAATGGAGAATGGGACAAGATATGTTGGTGCACCAATTACTGTGTGACAGGAATGAATATAGTACCTCTGATGTCTCTTGGATGAGACAAGGGACTGAGAAGGAAGGGATGTATCTAATGTGCCTGAAAAATTGTGCTAGCCCTTCAGCCAATAGTTTGTTTTTCAATAAATGAATGTAGGAGTTTCTTCAAGAACCTCACTGTTTTTCCTGGGATTCTTAGGTTCAGAAAATTATATATTATATATAAGCTCAACTATTTTTCATGATTTTTATATTTTACTTATTTCTTTCACTAGCTTTTGTAGTAAAGTTTCTTTTGAAATTGTCAAGTTATCTTGGGAATTAAGGGAAGCATTTATTATATTTTGGCTAGAGGATAAAAGGGACATATTTTACCCCCTTACTTGTGGAGATTTTGATTTGTGGGAATCAAGGTAAGAAGACCAGGAAGATATATATAGCCAACCTTTTCCCAATAGAAGCCATAATGGTGCTGCATTTCTAGGAGGTTAGCTACTTGTACTTTTGCTCCTTCCTTTGTCATTTGATAGCACTGTATTCTCACTTGTTCATTCTTTTTAAAAGTGTTTTGTGATCTCTAGGGGCCCTCTGTCACTTAACCAATCAAATAATATGCCTGCCCATTTCTCAGTGCTGTCTAATAGAAATTTCTGTGATGATGTAGATATACTGTATCTGTGTCATCTTATATCACAATCACTAGCATGTGTGGCTATAGAGCACTTGAAATATGTCTAGTGCAAATGAGAAATTATTTAGTTGAATTAATTTATTTTTAAGCACACATAGAGATGAGTATTGATGGTATGAGCCCTCAAGAACTTATTTTTAAAAATATATTGTATTATTATTATTTTTTTTTTTTACAGAGAGGAAGGGAGAGGGATAGAGTTAGAAACATCAATGAGAGAGAAACATCAATCAGCTGTCTCTTGCACACCCCCTACTGGGGATGTACCCGCAACCAAAGTACATGCCCTTGACCAGAATCAAATCTGGGACAATTCAGTATGCAGGCCTATGCTCTATCCACTGAGCAAAACTGGTTAGGGCAAGAACTTAAAGTTTACTATGATAAATGTCTGACAAAGGGCAATATAGGGCGCAAGGAGAATATCAAGACAAGCCTACTGAATTCACTAGCAGGGCTGACTTTTAAAGCTACTATTTTTCCACCTAGAATTTTCCTTCTTAACCTCTGGTGGAATGGTAAAACAACTTTAGTAAGTAAGCCATGCCTTCTTATGTTCATATGTGAGCCTCATCTTGTTTTTTCATACCCCAAAGGGAAACTCCACAAGGAAGATTGTAAAAACACAATATTATGTATTAAGAAGGCTCAGAAAATAAATGGTGGATTTTATATTTGATTTTGATCAGGTTGAATCTTTGGTGTAGCTAACAATAGAAAATGATACACAATCTA